CTTTACTCGTCACGAAGCTCACCTTACTTTGGTCCTCCGGGCATAACGGGATCTGATGGTATCCCTGAGATGCATCCATCATACTTAATAATTCGCAACCAGCCGTGGAGTCGACGAGCTGATCAATTCGTGGTAAAGGGTAATGATCCTTTGGGCAAGCCAGGTTCAAGTCCGGGAAATCGATGCACATGCGCCATTTGTTTAGTGCCTTTCTTACCATCACAGTGTTGGATATCCACTCGGGAAATTGGATTTCTTTGACATGTCCTGCCCGCAGCAACTTATCCACCTCTACTTCTATTGCTTTGTCGATTTCTTCCCCGTGGCGTCTAAGTCGCTGTTTTACTGGCTTTCTGAGGGGGTCGACATTGAGTTTATGCTCCATAATAGCGGGGTCGATCCCTGTCAACTCTTCAGGGGTGAAGGCAAAGACATCCCTGAACTCCTTTAGTAGTGCGATCAGCTGGTTTCGTAGCTCGACTTTCATATCTTTCCCGACCTTAGTGGTCTGTTCCTTTGTTTCTCCGATTTGTATTTCCATTAGCTCCCCGTGGGGTTAGAGATCAGTGTTCCTTGGCCTTTTCTCGCTCATCATTGGCTTTTTTCCTTCCTTCACCTCCGTCCGTTGGTTTGTCCTTACTGCAATCTGATAGCAGGTTCTCGACAGCCTCTGGTCGCCTCGGGCCTCTCCTACCCTATCTCCGACAGGGAATTTTAGCTTCATATGATAGGTTGACACTACCGCTTGGAATGCGTTGAGTGCCGGCCTTCCCAGAATCACATTATAAGCCGACTCGACGTCGACCACAACAAATCGTACCATTTTTACCTTCCTTAAGTCGCCTTCCCCGAGGACGACAGCGAGAGTGGTTTCCCCCAGGGGGGCGACTTCCGAGCCATTAAATCCAAAAAGTGAAGTGTGGAGAGGTGAGAGTTCAATGTCGAGTTCCATCCGTTTAAGGCAATCAAAAAATATCACATTCACTGAGCTCCCCGTGTCGACAAAGATTCTCTGGACTTCGTAACCCGATATCTGGGCTGTGATCATCAAGGCATCGTTATGAGGTCTCTCAACTGCTCCTACGTCAGCTGGTCTGAAATTCATCACTGGACCATCCTCTTCGACCTGCTGCACTTCGGTTTTTCCATGATGCCCTCGAGCATATGCTTTTCTAGCCCGGTTTGAATCGCCATCAGTTGGCCCGCCAAATATCATATAAATTACTCCTCTTTTTGGGGAAGCTCTTCCTTATCGGGTGTTCTCGCCCTCTTGTGGGGGCTTTTGCTCCTCTCCCTTCGTCGACTTGGTCGTTCTCGATCTTTATAAACGAACTCCTTCAGATGGCTTGCTTTGATTAATCTCTCAATTTCATTTTTCAAGTGCCGACATTCATCGGTGTTATGGCCGTAGTCTTTGTGAAATCGGCAATACAGGTTACTTTTAGGTTTTGTCGGCCCGTCCTTTCTCGTTTGTGGCCACCTGACAACGTTGTCGTGGATCTCTCTCTCCATAACCTCCAGTATCCTTGCACGCGAGGCCGACAGAGGAGTATATTGGGCTGTCCTCCACCCCCTTGATCGTCCCTCTCTCTCGGCTCTTGGGGATCCTTTCCTTTCAGTTGTTGCGACACGCTTTTTGTCCTTCTTCTTGTCCCGAGGCTCAGTTTTCGGCTTAGCCGCTTGCAGAAAGTCGGCTTCGGCTTCCTCGACATTCATGTATTTGGCGCACCTTCCCAATACTTCATCAAACGTCCTCCCGGGCCGCTTCGCTAGGGAATTTCTGCACAATCCCGGGAGTAGCCCTCGAGTGAGTCCTCCCGACTTGATCTCCTCAGTAGCCGAGGGGACGTCGACACATGCCCTTGTGTATCTCGCTACGTAGTCCCTTAGTGATTCCCCTTCCTTCTGCTGCATACCTATCAGAGTAAGGTATGACTTTTCTTGGGCTTTCACACTTGCGAATTGGTTTAGGAAACTCGAGCTAAATCCATCGAAATCCCTGACGGCCCCCGGGGGCAATTGGTGAAACCAATCCCGCACGGGCCCTCGCAGGGTCGTCAGGAATGCTCGGCACTGAACGGGGTCGTTGTATCGGTGTAGTACTGCCATGTTTTCGAAACTTCTAAGATGTCGGGAGGGATCAGTCGACCCATCATACCAGATATTAAGCTCCCTGAAGCCTTGAGGCAAGTCGGCATCTAGAATATGTTGTGAAAAAGGGTGTCCCCTTGAGCTTCCCGTCTTCCTTCCTTCGACCCGGGCCTGCAAGTCTCGGACCTGCGCTAACAGCTGTTCCAGCGTGTCGTTTTTGGCTTGTGGATTGACGGTTCTGACAGAGGACTCCTCCTCGTCTATCCTCCTGTTTTGCCTTTCATGCGATTGTGCATGTTGTTCGCGCTCAGGGGGTTGTTGCTCATTTTGGGGTTGTTCGACCCTCGCTTGCTCGACCCTGGGCCGCTCGACTCTTGGTTGTTCGACTGGCGTCTGTTTGAGTTGGGCCGCTACTGCCTCCGCGATCATTCTCTGCATCTCACTTTTCGTCATGGTCAGCGTTTGTTCCTCGCCTTGGGGCGGTGGCCTCGTCTCTTGGTCAAGTCGTCCAGGTTGCCTCCCCATCCTCAGAGAGATTTCGGTTGATGCGTGATCACCTGTCTCTCCGCTTGTGTCCCTCACGTGACTGGCCTCCCCCTGAGTGAGAACCGGGATCTTGACTCCGGGTGGGGTAATAGGCGTCTCTTCTCCCGTACGCCCTCCTGACGGCGCGTGTGCCCCAAAAGGTGGGAATCCCAGCACCTGGAGTGGTGGTCTAAAGCTGGGAATCGGCGGAGGTCGCTTGTCCGTCCATGTTGCCCTGAAGTCCTCATTCAAGTTTTTCTGCACTCCTTCCTTCTCAGCCATCGGAAACAGATCAAAGCTAGGTGTAAAGCTCTTAATTCCTTCAAGAGCTCCCCACAGACGGCGCCAAAATGATGGGTCTCTTCTCAGATCTGGAACGGTCCAGTGGGAAAACGTCCGGATCTGGGATGAACCGGTGTGAATGAGCTTAGATCTGATGTGATGGCGTTCGAACCGTTGTTGAGCCGCAAGAACACCTGCAAGAACTCAACGCCGGAGGGGTTTCCGGCGTAGAGCCTCCGACGCTCAAGTCAGTATATGAGAGGGATGATGGGAGCTGCTATGAGAGCAGCAGCAGTAATAAAAAGGGTATGGAATGAATGGGAGTTAGGGTTTTGGGCTTACCTCAGTCCTTTATATAGAAGTGCAATATTTACCTGAAGTCCCCAAAGTGCCCCGGCCGACTCAATGGAAATGTCCAGAATACCCCGGTCGGTTCATATTCTGCCCACTTCCTAGTCAGCATCTAGATCCTTCCTTAGCTTCCTTCTTATCCTTAACTCTTCTTCAATATGCTGAGGTGTGTCAAAGCTATCGGGAACCACGAACTGCAAGACTCCTTCAGTCGACTTGAGGTATTGAGTCGAGTCGACTGGATCGCATCCCACCGTTAATGGACCCTGATACGTCTGATCGCTGTCTTGGCAGAGGTCGACTCGTTCTAGTCGACAGGTGTACGTCGACTCGGTCGAGAACCGGGCTTCTTGATTGAATACCGTGAAACCCTACTGGCGGAGTCGACTGTGTTGTAATCGACTTGGCAGTTTCGAACCGTGATGATATGAACCGTTATGAGCCAATTGTGGCAATGCCACGGTTACTGAACCGTTACACGACAGTATGGCTATATCAGGATTCTAGGCGATTTTGTGACTTGTTATCTCAGTTTTTCAGTTGTTGGCAGTTCCAAGTAGGCGCTACTATGTATCGTACATTTGTGCATTTTAATTTATATTTATTATCTAGCGTTTTGAAAAAAAAAAAAAAAAA